TATAATGTTGGCTGAGGGCTTGTCATATATGGCCTTTATTATGTTAAGGTATTTCCTTCTCTACCAATTTTGTTAAGTGTTTCGATCATAAATGTATGCTGATCTTGTCGAAAGCTTTTTCTGCATCTATTGATATGATCATATGATTCTTATTTTTTAATTTATGTGGTGTATCACAATAATCGATTTGCTTATGTTGAACTATCCTTGTACCCCTGGGATGAAGCCCACTTGGTTTCCAGTAGGTGGCGTCTAAACCTCTTGGATTCCTGCTTTCTATAAAGCCTTAAAAATGCCTTTTAAAAAGTTTCTTGTAGATATTTAAATACGCTTGCTAATCTCAATTTCAGTCTCTGTCAGTGTCAGAGTCTTGGCAGCATTTGCTCAGATTCCCCTGGGGCTCCACGGTGATTGGTCTCAGAGGGTAAGAGGGGAGGGGCCTTCTAGGTTGGGAGTTGGGAGCTGTGGCTCAGCCTTGGTTTTGCGGCCGCAGCCGGTAAAAATCAACTGTTTTTCTGCGGTCCCATCTTGCTTCTCTGCCTTCTGCCCTGATGAGTGGGCTCTGTCGCTGGCCAGCCTTGGGGAGCTCACAGCTTTCCCAGGCAGGGCTGTTGAGGAAACTCGCTGCTCCTTTTTCCCTCCCCCTCCTCCTACAGGTAGCTCTGGCCACCGCCCAACACCCAGGGTTCTGACCTGTGGTAGCTCCGAAGTGCAGATCCCACTCTCAGATGTGCTAGTGTGCAGTTTGGGTGTTTTTTGTTGAGTTTTAGATGTTCAGCTTATTGTTGTTTCAAGGGGAGAGATCTGGGGACATCTCTCACTCCACCATGTTTCCGAGAGATCCCATCCACTTATTTTAAGAAGACTATAATTGCTGGAATAACCATTAGGTTAGCATGGCAGCTCCTATAAAAGTTTGATATTTTATTGATTGATTGATTGATTTACCTTTTTAATATAAACTTATTTATTTAAATTAGTTTCAAATATGCAGTACATTGGTTAGACGTCTATAATGTTCATAAAACTATTCCCCCAATTGCTCCCTCCCTCCCCTGGCCCTCCTCTTAGCCATCATATTAATGCTAACTGCATTCCCTCTGCCATGTTCCCCATGCCCAACTATCAACTACTAATTTGTACTTCTTTAACCCTTCACCCCATTCTCTCAGCCCCATAACCAAAAAACCCATTCCCCCAGCCCCCAACATCCCGCCCCTCTGTCTGTCATCAAACTGTCCACTATATTTGTGAGTCTGTTTTTGATTAGTTCTTTTTGTTCCTTAGATACCGCATATAAATGAAATCATATAGTATTTATCTTTCTCTGACTTATTTCACTCATAATAACCTCTAGGTCCATCCGTGTCATGGCAAATGGTAAGATTTCATTTTTTTAATGGCTGAGTAATATTCCATTGTATATATGAACCATAATTTCTTTAGCCAATCATCTGTTAATGGGCATTTAGGTTGCTTCCACATCTTGGCTATTGTAAATTGTGCTGCCATGAACATTGGAGTGCATAGATCTTTACAAATTATTGTTTTGGTTTTCTTTGGATAAATACCCAGAAGTGCAATTACTGGGTCAAAAGGTATATCCATTTTTAATTTTTTGAGGAACCTCCAAACTGTTTTCCATAGTGGCTGTACCAATTTGCAATCCCATCAACAATGGATGAGGGTTCCCTTTTCTCCCCATGCTCTCCAACACTTATTGATTTTTGATTTATTAATAATAGCCATTCTGACAGGTATGAGGTGATATCTCATTTTGGTTTTAATTTGCATTTCTTTGATGATTAGTGACCTTGAGCATCTTTTCATGTCTGTTAGCCATCTGTATTTCCTCTTTGAAGAAGTATCTGTTCAGGTCTTCTGCCCATTTTTTAATTGGATTATATGTCTTTTTTTGTTGTTGTTAAAAGTTTGAATTTTTAACATTAGAGAATGCTAGTATAAAATTTTGATGTCAAGTGTTCTATATGTGCCCCGTAATGCCAATGTTAGCTATTGATTTGAAATAGAAAATGGACAGTGTGATTGAAAGCAACCTGCTGCTGGGAAAATCACTAAGCGTGTGGATCAGCTCAGCCTGCAGGGGCTGTGCCACACTTGGGAGGAGAAGAAAGAGATGGTTCCAGGAATGCGCATCACCTCTGAGCCTAGTAACCTGTTTGTGACCTATTGCTCAGCCACATGATATGGGCAGGTCACTTCTTGGGGCCTCTGTTTCTCATTTGCAAAGTGTAGCAGTACCATTTAGGTAGTTCAAGGTCCCTCAGATTGATCCTTCATAAGAGTGAGAGGGGTGTCGATAGAGGTGGGCATATGACAAATTTAAAATTGTTTTATTTTTGCCTTGTTAATTTGGGTGTAAATTATAGCATCTGACTTAGCGTGGCTCCTCGGACATTTGTGCAAGCTGTACTACGGAGCCTCTTTCTTTTACTGTGAATGAACCCATAAGCAATTGGTAAAAGGTAATAGATAATATTCACATGCATTATTTGTGAAGGTTAGTAAGGCTTATAAAATGGTTTTGAGCTTGGATGAAAGAAATTCTGAACATAAAATTATATTAATTTGACCTCTGACCTGACCTTCTGGGGGAATAAATATATCAGTGTTACTGATCTCTTCCTATATATCCTATAATAATTAATTCCTTATGCATGAGTGACCATTTTCATTCCTTGGAGAACTTTATTCACTATAGGGCCAGAGCCATTAATATAAAACCATTTTCATTCCTTGGAGGACTTTATTCACTATAGGGCCAGAGCCATTAATACGAAACAGAAAATTTTTAATGACTGCCACATATGCCTTTGCAATGGCATTGGTTAAGTTTTATGGGGGAGAAATATGCAAAACAGGAAGTGTTAGCATTCTTTTAAATGCAAACAGAAGTAACTAGGCAAGGCAAGTAGTTTAATGAGAACAATGTCAGCAGGAGAGAAGGATATGGAAGGGAGAAAAATAAGGGAATTACAATGTGAAAAGAGTGGTAATGCCAGTCTGTCTTAAGAAATATGCAAATAATATTTTTAAAGTATATAGAAATTACCAATTAACATATCTAATAGCCTGAGCCCATTTGAGAGGGAAGGAACTGGGTTCTCTTTGTCTCTGTATCTTGTACCATATGGTCTTACAAAACCGAATGTCACTTTTGATATAGAGCTTATAGGGAAAACAAAACAGAGCTTGAGGTTAGGAAGTTAGGTGGAGATTATGCGTATAATGTAAAAGTTCTGGGCAGTGTATATTTGTTTGGAGATAGGAAAGCCTGGAATTGAAATGTGTACAGTAGTCCCCTCTTATCTGTGGGGCATATGTTCCACGACCCCCAGTGGATGCCTGAAATCAAGTACCGAACCCTAATCAACTTCTTCAACTTGTCACTTTCTTCATCGGCAAACACAGCCTCTCTAGTAATTTTTATATTTTCAGTGCAAACCTATTCCTGAATCTATATCCATCCCTTACTTGCAGTAAGTGGCTTGGTGTCACTTGTTTGGGAGGTCTCTTACTGAGGTGTTCGTTACAGGCTCAGCACTTTCGGGTGCAACACGTTGCCATCAGAACAGGTTTTCTGTTTATGTCTTCAACCCACAAATGTAATATTTTTTTCCATCTTAACTAAGCATTTACACGCACTGTGGCTGTAACTTTTGCAGTTTTTGGTATGACAGCAAATCTAGTACAGATTTATCATGCTAAGCGAGATAAGCCAGGCAGAAAAAGTTGAAAATCACATGATATCACTTATATGTGGGATATCAACCTAAAAGCAACAACTGAACAGGACAAACAAATACAGACTCATAGACATGGACTATAGACTAATGGTTACCAGAGGATAGTGGGTGGGGGAGGTGGGGGTAGGTGAATAGTTAAAAGGGGTCAAATATAGGGGAATAGGGGGAGGGTGGAGTGAGTAAAGGAGATCAAATATATGGTAGCTGAAGGAAACTGGACTTCGGGTGGTAAACACAATAGAATATACAGATGTCAAATTATAATGTACACTGGAAAATTATATAATTGTATTAACCAGTGTTATCCCAATAAGCTTAATTAAAAAAAATACTAGCACAGATTTTTTTTCTTTTATAATTTCATGGATTCAAGATTCATTCTTATTGTAGATCTTAGAAACCTCAGCATATGATATTTTTTTCTTTATTAAGTGGAGAACCTTTTACATTTTCACTTAAAGGAAGCACTTTATGGCTTCTCTTTGGCACATTTGAGTTGCTCGCATCATTACTCTTGCACTTTGGGGCCATTACTAAGTAAAATAAAGGTTACTTGAACGCAAGCACTGAAAAACCTTGAGTCGATCTGATGACCGAGACAGCTACTACGTGACTAACGGGTGGGGTGTGTGTACAGCATGGATACCCTGGACAAAGGGATGATTCGTGTTCTGAGCAGGACACAGCCGGGCAGCATGAGCTTTCATCATGCTACTCAGAACAACATGCAATTTAAAACTTATGAATTGTTTATTTCTGGAATTATTTAATATTTTCTGACCACAGTTGACCATGGGTAACTGAAACTGTGGAAAGTGAAACCATGGATAAGGGGGACTAACTATCTTTAAAAAATAAAAACTGCAATGTGTATAATGGGATGAAGGTGAAGGAAATGGTTTTAGGTATTTGTTTTTAATGAGTTGATATCTAATAGTGTTTTCCTTTTGCTTGGCATGATCACAAAAATCATTTATAAATTCTTTATTAATATACTTTCTCGGAGGAAGAGTAAATAGGTTGTTTTTTTAAATGATTAACAAGTGATTATTATAGATTCTAGATATCACTATTAAAAGCTTAATTAAGAAAAAGGGTGATAGACCAATCACCAGAAACCATATGCAGAGAACTGAAAACTGGAGACCATTTCCTTCTTTTTCTGTCAATTTGATGTCAGTAAACATGCTCAGTGAAGTGATTAAGATTAGGTCATTTACATAGACAGTATGGCTCTGTAACTCAGTTTTTCGATAAATAGCAACATATGTAGTTATTTGGAAGTAATCTTAATTATGTATACTAAGACACTTCTATAAATAAAAAGGTGCTTTAGAGGAATTTTGCCACATACAGTGATAGTTGGGCGATCTGAATCCATCAGGCATGCCATGAGCTGCCATTTTATATATAATTTCCCTGATTTTTTAAGTAGGCAACTGGACATGTATTTTCTTAATGTGTTTATTGAGATACTAATCTTGATATGAGTTCAGCATTGTGAATATCATTTATTTGGAGGTACTGAAAATGTGGATGCATATGCAGAAGTATGTGTGATATGACAGAGTCAAATGTTCACTGCCCTATATACTTTAAATTAGCTCTTCAGGATGATGCCGTGAACCAGCCAACTTTAGCTTCTAAAAATATTTCCCCCCTCAGTGAACCTGAGATAGGCATTGACTGAGGTCTCTTCTCCTGGAACCATGTGGAGAACGTGGCCTACGAGCTCTCTTTTAGGCTCTTTTCCCTGTGCTTGCTCCCTTCAAGTCCCATACTAATATTCATTTTATCTTTTGATGATAGTATACCTTCTTTTGTTGTAACACTTTAGCTTTTTACATATCCTAGGCTTGTATTTTTTGTTTTTTAGATTTTTTTTTTTTGCCTTGTTCAGTTGAGTGTAAATTACTGTGTCTGATACAGCGTATTTATCACTGTGACTCTTCCTAAGTGCACCTCCTGTGTTTGGACTGTATTGATTGGCCATCTGTCTGCATGTGATGCACTTAGGGCCCAAAGGGCTCGTAATGAGCTTTGGCATACACACTTCTTCCTAGTGTTTGCTGCTCTCTTGGGTATTCCTTATTGTGCCTTCCTCTTCTTTTTCTTCTCTCAGTGTCGCAATCTAGCTTTTGTGTGAAAAGGCTGATTTTTTATAAACATTGTTATTCAATTATTTGTTTCCATGTGGAGATCTGGCCACCATAACAAATTGAGTCACCTTACATAGTCTTCAGTCTTTCAGCTGTTTTTGTGGTATCACACAAAAAAAGAATTTGCCAGTCTCCCCTCTTCCTTGTTCTCTTTCTCTCATGTTTCCAGATCCAGAGCTATTTGGACATATGGTACCCAGGAAGTTGTGGCTTTGTTATATTAAGATTTTAAAGTTCTTTCCAGTCTATAGATATCAGTAAATGTCCATGCTGTGGAGAAAAGTTGATTCTGAATAGGTCTTAGAGAAACAATAATGTTTCAAGACCCAATTAAAATTATTTTTATGCTTATGTAAATCTTAGGTAAGATGAAGTCAGATCAAAAGATTCCATTTCTTAGAAGAATTGTCTATCTCGCTTGGTATTTCTTAATAATAGTATATACTTTTATTTTTGATTTTCAAAAATCAAAGAACCAAAGAATGCACTTGGCCTAAATATATAAAGTATTTAAGAAGCTTAGCCCTTCTAAAGATTTTTATGTCATTTTATGGAACTGTAATTCTCTTGAACACAAATATTTGGTGAGGATAGGATTTTGACCAAAGTCAGAGCAACATTTCTTTGTCATATTTCATGAAGGTTGCTGTTGAACTAATCTGGTTGCAGAACACCACGGATTGAATTGGAAGAGATGGGACCCTCATTGGATCTGGTTCTGAGGAGGACACATCTGGCATCAGATGACCTTTATAAGTTATCCATGAAAATGCCAAAAGCCCTCAAGGTACATGACTTGTAGATTGGTGCCATATTTATTTGTATATTTTACTCTTTCCAAAAAAGATTTTCAGCATATATTAAAAGACATAAAGAGATCAATAAAATAGATAAAATTAAACTCTCAGGGCCAAGAAGAGGAGGAGGAAGCAAATAAGCCAACCATAAAGGATGATAAAAGATTTATAGAAACCAGATGTCAGCTATGGCTGAGAGCTTTCTGGTAGCCAAGACTGCCATTTTTTCAGCAAAAGGAATTGTTTGGTCCATTGCGAAGACTGGAGATTTAGCGCACAGGATGTATAACCCACACTTACATAAAATGTATTTTGACTTTTGAACTGTTTTAAAAAACAAGTTCTCTCTGGAATGCCAGTAAAGATTGAAATGATAGTCACAATACCTTAAGCTAAACACAGGAAATTCTCTCAGTGCATGTCAATGGTTAGTGTAGTCTGTAATGTTGTGTCTCAAAGTGTGATCTGACAGTTTTCCTGGGAATTGTTAGAAATGCTGCATCTCAGGTCCTACCTTAGACCTACTGAATTAGAATCTGCATTTTAGCAACATCTGCAGAGGATTTGTATGTATACTTGAGTTTGAGAAGAAAGGTCTATGAGGGCTATATACTCTGTGTCATTGAAGCGGTGCTCACTAATGGAAATTTTTAGTAAGGTAGTTGTTATACACTAGATTTTTACCAGTTCATGATAATAGAAACCGTTAAATATATATATTCTTGTTTCATAGCCAAAGAAGAAGAAAAATATCTCCCATGATACTTTTGGTACAACTTATGGAAGGATTCATATGCAGAAGCAAGACCTAAGCAAACTACAAACCAGAAAAATGAAGGGGTTGAAGAAACGACCTGCAGAAAGGATAACAGAAGATCAGGAGAAAAAATCAAAGAGAATTAAAAAAAAATAATGGAATTTAGCTGAAAACTACGGTTTTATTGTAGTCTGTTTACTTAGAATTATCATCAGTCATATCAGAGTTTCTTATAAGATTTTACTGTATATTTTTCTACCATTATAATTTGCCTAAACTATATATTATATATATTATGAACAGTAATGTACTATTAGGTTGAAAGTAAGCCTCTTACTTGAGACCTACCCTTGCGTGCCATTTTTACTCTGTGATACATTTCCCTCTGTCCGCCCCCCGCAAAGTCTAGTCTGCTGTCTCATTGGGTGGGTGAGGGAGGAGGGATCTCCAGAATAAACATAGGTATCTGAGAATTTTGGGGTTAAGCTTTAGATAAAGGGAGGAGTCATGCAAAGTAAAATGGCCCAAAGGAACTGTATACACACTCAGTATGACCTACCTGGAAAGTTAATTCCATCTTCCAACATATACCTACAACCCGGCTTTTATTTTTTACTTTTCAGTTATTTTGCCTGAAATTCTACCAGTTATTAATTTGAGATTTTAAGCTTTGTGTCATAAAATATAGGTCTCTAAGAAAGATACCTGATCATTGACATATTACCTTACTGTTGATTATTTTAATAAGAGATTTCTGCTACAAATTGGAGCCCTACCCTCCTCTGCGAGAAAGGAAGTTTTTTTTGTTTTGTTTTGTGTTTTACACCTACAGCACCTGGTATTCCTAGGTAGTCTCCTATCCAAGTACTAACCAGGCCCAACCCTGCTTAGCTTCCAAGATCAGACAAGATTGGGCACGTTCAGGGTGGCATGGCCGTAGATGAGAAAGAAAGTTTTGATAGAGATAGATGTGAGGAAAGAATGGGTAGGTTTTAAGACACAGGGTACTTTAGGATACTAGGTAGCTAAAGGTCACACAAAAACCCCGGGTGTTTGCATACTGAGTAGGAGTAAGCCAAAGCCAAACAGTATGTTTTGAAATTTTCATGAAGACTGGCCCTGTGCCTAGGAAAATGGGAAGAAGCTTTCTACTTCCTCCTCATAGTGTTGTATACTTCTTTTTTCTAAATTGATTGAATCCCTGGCAAAGAAGTTCCTTTATACAAGTGCAAGCCAATTATGTTATAAAGACACAAATAGAACATAAATGATAATATGTTACATGAAGTAGAAATGCTTTTGTTTTCAATTTCATGTCAAGGAGTTTTGGCATTCCTAGATGTTCATGCATTTACTTGAGTTTGCTGGCAGTAAGCAAAAGCTATAGCCTCAATTTTACCTTTTGTATCCTTTTCTTTCTCTTGTAAACCCATTTTTTTAGTCTTCCCTCTCCCTATCCTTTTCCGGATGGCTAATCTCCTCCATACAAAAGAAGGAGCTAGAATCACTCATTTACACTTGTTGCTTGATTATGTATTTAACCAAAAACCACACAGTTTTAGATCTGAAGGAGATATTTGTGTTTTATGTCTAAATGGGGAGAGAGGGCTAAAATGATTTATATTGTGCCATCTGCAAGTAGATGGACAATAGGGGAGAAGAGGAGCTATAGAAGGGGCATCAGAAATCATATTGTGCCATCTGCAAGTAGATGGACAATAGTTGGGGAGAAGAGGAGCTATAGAAGGGGCATCAGAAATGAGGGATTCATAGTCCTTCCCCAGTGCCTGACCCCTGACTCTAGCAAAAGCTAATGAAGATGGTGATTCAGGAGGAGCTAAAGCAATGGGTCTCTCTCACCAGCCACTTACAGGCAGGACCCTGCCACACCTTGACCCCTCTCCACCAGGAAGACCTACCCCAGCCATTCAGTGCTAAGGTAGAGATAGCCACATTTTCTGTATGTGGGATACTGTCTTAATGAAGTTATTTTAATCAATACCCTCTTGTTTGAGATTTGTTAATGGATCATTCTGTTTCCTATGTAATTTTTATTTCAGATAGTATCCAGTAAGTATATCCTCTTCACTAAGAGAAGTATTATTACATAGTATTACTGAAACAGAATTCAAAGACTTTGTTGAAAAGCCTTTTTCTAATTATAAAAACATCTGGAGCCCTTGATCCACCATTTATATCACTTTTTGTGGGACGTACATTTTAATTATCACTTGTCCTTGAACTTTAGAATACATATACGTAAATTGGAGAATATGTATTCTAGTAGCGGTGGTAAATTGTTTTGTTTTACTTTGGATTTTGGTAGATGAAGAAAGCAGATTAGAGATTTTTTTTTTTTTTAATACCAAACTTGTCTTTTTTCTAGGATGTTAATACTAATGCCAAGCTATATATGATTTCATGAAATATGGTTCCTTTTTATAATTTAAGTGCAGATATTTCTTTTCTTGATATAGAACATAATCCAAAGTACAGGTGTTGTTACCCAAGTCAAAAAAGGAAGGGGGAAACAAAACTGACCTGAGTCAGCTTTTAGTTACCTGATTACCTAGCTACTTCTGATCTCATTTATATTTTTAGCCATTTTGCTTCCCTTACCCCTAGAGGGTTGGGCCAGGAAAGGGTTCGGAGAAGCTTTAAAACAGAAGAAGTTAAAACCACTGCTAAAATTTGACAACAAGGGAAGGTTGGTTTCTTTTTAATGAAATTACAATTATCAGTGCTTGGTCCATTGTAAAATTAAGAACCTGCAAAAATACAGGGTTTTCATTATGTCCTTAATACACTTTCAATAGATTACAGAAATGGTCAAAACATTCCCTAACTGCATTGAATGCAAATATATCCTAGCATATGTACATTATGAAATTGTATAGAATATTATATCCATTGAAATAAGCTGCTGTGAACAAGACAAAATGGGCTTGGTGGCTTGAGGTTTATGCTAGCTGTGAGAAGAAAGTCAACTTGCTTTTAAATGTTATTTTTTTCTCATACCAACAATTTGAGTTGTTCAAGTTTAAAACCAGCAAAGATATCACTGTGTTTCCTGTACCACCCAAAGTGGGCCATGTTAGGAATTTTAACTGCCTTGGTTGAATTGGAGCCTTTTAGCACTTTTTCCATTTCAAAGCCCTTTCGGAAAAAGTTTTAAAATATGGCATAAATGTAAGGTAGGCCTTTCTTTGTAGATAACCAACACATTTTAATTGTTCTTTTTCTGCTGCTTCCTTTAAACAGCTTCCCCCCTCCCTCCCCTAACCCATCTCACCCCCATCCTACTCTTTACATACACTCTGGGCATATTCCAAACAGGGAGAAAGGCCTGGCACTGTGCAGGCCTTTGCTACTAAGCAGGGCTGGGGCTAGTTTGAAAGAAGGCAGATAAAGAGGAAATGGCAAAGCTTCTAGGTATTTAGCAGTTAGGGCTTTTGCCAAGTAAAGATCAAAGCCCCTGAGCTTTGAGTACTTTACTGGATTGAGACAGATTCCTCCAGCTCAAAGCTGGGTTTCTGAGGGCTCAACTAGAAGCAGAGTGGCAGGTGTTGGCTCTGTGGGGCATGCCCTCCCACTCAGCTGGAACTCGAGGTTGTAGAGGCACTATCTATGGACACCAGGTCAGGAAGGGACCTGCAACCAGAGTTAGAGTTGAGGCTGTGTTCAGTTAACCCCTCCCTCCCTCCCTAACAGTGCAAGTGAACTCAGAAAGATGCCTGGAGGGCAAAGCACAGCCTATTTAACTGGTACATTTGAAATGGACCTGGAAGATTTGTATTCATCAGCTTGAGAGGTTTATTTTTCCCAATCCTTTAGCTAGTTCCCCAGAGTCACTTGACAAAGCTGATGGCAAGGTGACCCGACATCGCTTTAGGTGGTAACCTGCAATAGCACCTCTGGATCTTTCTCTCAAAGGGAGCTTGGGGTTATGGCACAGGGGGAAAGAACATGAGAATTCATTACTATCCCCATGAGATCCCATTTCCATTTATTTGGCTCATCACTTAAAGCTAGTCTATGTCACATGTGTTTGAATGTTGCCCCCAGCACCATCCTTCATACTGGGAGACCTTGGAGAAAGATTAAGCTCAGGTGGCATGAGGTCTCTTCAAAAGTGGAAGGTAGTGACAGGCAGTGCAGTGCGTGTGTGGTGGGGAGTCGTGACATTAAAAGAAACTGACATCTCTTGAAGCTCTCCGAGTGCTCAGATAAGATTGAAAGGACAAGGACCCGATTACAGAAGGCATAAAACCATGGGTAAGATCAATTAGTGGTATGGTTCTCTAGTGTTAGGAGTGGTAGTTCTCAACATTTTCCTGGAGATGCTAAGGAAATAAATGAGGCTTTGTTTTGTTTGTAGTAGTATGACAAAGAATTTTTTTTTTAAGGGTCCTGATAAGGCAGGTGGTATAATACTAGATGGCAGAATTCTTACATGATTTCCATTCTTGGAAATGAGTGGAGCCTAGCCACTATGGTTCCATGATGAGTAGCTCCAGAGGGTATTTCTATACTAACTTCAAGGTGAGTGAGATACGGTACGGAAAGCGCCTGTATGATTGAAATGACTTGGAGCCTCAATCCCAGACGAGAACAATCAGTTTTGAAGAAATCGTGGGAAAATAGAGTGAGACAGAGGTAGTTACCCTCTAGATTTGGCCCTGGCAACATTTTGGGAAGAATCACTAGGTAGGCGGCTTGCAAGCTCTTAGAAATTGTAGTAGTCATTGCTAGGAGCCAGCATGAGTTTTCTGGGAGCTAAGAGTTTAGTTGTTTTTTTTTCTTTAATATCTTCATCGTTATGGAATTTATTATTTCTAATCATGTCTGCTGTTGGACTGATCCATTCTTTACATTTTTCTTGATCGATTCAGTGATTATTTATTGAGTAACAATGTCTCAGATGGCATGCTGACTGTCAAGGATACCAAGAAGAATAGCTCAAGTTCTCTCTTGTGTAAAGCCCAAATGGATGCTGCTGTGGCAGGAAGCTCTTGGTTCCAAGTGTTGGTTCGTGGATCCAGTCTCCTTCAGTCTTATGGCTCTGCTGTGTTCAACTTGCAGCTTCCAAGTTTTCCACACTCATTTGCTGCAGGCCAAAAAGGATGGAAAGGGCATGAAGGATGTTTGTGAGAGTTGTTAGGAGTCAGGGTTGGGGGTGATGCATATCCCTTCTGCTCAGATTCCTTGGCTAGATCTCTGTCGCAGGTTCACACCTAACATCAAGGGAGGCTGGGAACAATTGCTTAGCCTGGGTGCCTGCGGAGGGTCAGCAGCTCAGGAGGCCCAAGAGGCACACGGAGAAAGATTTAGCTGTGTGGCCCCAGGCGAATACAGGAGAGACAGCTGCCATTGTTCCTTTTACTCTTCTTTTTTTGAAAAGAAGTACTTTCCTGGTATATAAGGGAGTAATCATTCACTCCATATTTCTCAAACATGTTTCAGGCATTGTGTTAGAAGAATGCCTTATGTTGTATATATATATACAATTTAGAAAGCATTTTATTTCAAATACAAATTTGATGTTTTTCCCCTAATTATAAAATAAATCATTTTTCTGGATATTGAAGAGAAGGTTACAGAGAAGAAAGTAAAAGTCACCTGTAATCTCACCATCCAGAGATACCATCTATTAACATTTTACTGTATGTCTTGCCACTTTTTAAAAATATAAGTTCTTAAAATGAGACTATATTTTGGAGCTCTGCTTTAAAAAAAAGTAAATTTTTTAAAGTACAATTTTCTTAAATGAATTCCCACATACAGGACAGTGCTCAGATGAGTAAATGTGATGAATTTTACAAAGTGAACACATTGTCTAACCATTATCAAGAAATAGAAATATTGTTAAGACCCACAGAAGCCCTTTGTATCCCCTTCAGTCATTAGCCCATTAGTAGTAGGGTTATCTGTTAGGTGCCCTACTCTTTAAAATTGATGTTATACTATAGGCATTTTCCTGTCATCATTGTTTTGAAAACACCATTTTTTGACAGGTACGTAATATTTGATTGTTAGGGGTGTGTTAGACTATTTAGTTATTCTGTTGGGCATTAATGTCGTTTTCTTTTGGTATTATGAACAATGTGATCTATATGTTTGCACAGAAATAGTTTTGGAAAACATTTTCACATGCTCATTTTATTTGATATTTAAAATATCCTGTAAGAGGCATAGTATAGGTGTCATTATACATAATTTCTGGTTGACGAAACAGGCTCAGAGATTAAGTAACTTGTCTGAAGTTATACAGCTAAAAAGTA